TGTATTCATTAATTTTCATTTTCATGTAGTAAAGGCTCTATGCCTTCATAAAGTATGTACTTCTCCTTTGTTTAAGGGTATTTGGGCAGTTTATTCTCTGTTGTATTCTCAAGCAAACAATACATACAAGTACAGTACAGTATTTTCTGAGGAAACACTCGTACTTATTCTTTTTTAACCCCATTCCCGATAACCCGGCATTTTCACAAACTCGGTCACCCTTCAGTCCACATTAGACTGAGTTTTTGGGACTCTACTGTATCACAAAATAGCATTCCATTTCATCTTGTAACACCAATAATAAAATTAAATATTGATTTGGGTATTTTTTTTTTCATGCAAAAAAAAAAAAAAGAAAAAATACCCAAATCAATATTTAATTTTCAAATGTGCTATTGTATTTTCACTTCTTTGATATATTTCATGATGAGTTTTTCATTATTTATAGTTGATGGTTGGTTTACTTCTTTATGTGGGCAGAATTGATGTTCTGTTTTATATACTGTATGTCAGGAAAACATTAAATAAATTTTGTATAGTTTCTTGTATATTTGTTTGATTTTTAATAAATTACAAAGTTACAATTTAACAAGCATTAGAAAAGTAAATTTTTTTGTAATAAGAAGAATCATCATTTTTAGACAATTGTAGAAAAAATGAAGAAAAGTGAGTTTAGTAACAAAAAGAATTAAAAAATTTATTTTGCAATCCATATCATAAATATGCTTAAAATTAATGATAATAATGAATAAAATTAATAACAATATAAATCTAATTTAAAAATAAATTTTTTGCTGATAAATAACAGTCTAAATAATATTTCAGATCTTTTTTACTTGAGTGTCCAAACAGAGAAGTCAGATTTGCTTTTGCAAGAATACTTGAAAAGACAATTGCCAATTTCTTCTATCATGGAGGAAAAATTGTGAGTTAATTTGCTTAAAATTTTAAGGATATTTTGATTTATATTTTACTTATTCTGATTATCTGCTCTTTCATAAAATATTGTAAAATAGTTCATCTGTGTAGTAAAAGAAAAATCCTTTGGAACTTTTTATCTTCCCATTATTTTATGTTGTTGAAAAAAGTGATAATCTCATATTGCAATAAATTTTAACCAGAAAATTATAAAAATGAATATAATACCTAAATATCTTGATAATTATTCAGACATGATTATAATAGTTTATAGGAGTTTTATACAAGTCAGGAAATTACTAGTACAAAAAAATTTTTCTTTTGGAAAATTTTAATGTTTCCAAACTTACAAAGTACAAATTTTCTAAATAAACTGGTGATTGTTTTATTTATTTTCTAACAAATATAGACAATCTTCAATAAACATCTCAGTGAACTTGTTTAATATAAAGCAAAAGCATATTTTTAAAATTATTGCTTTATTTATTTTCTATTCTAAGTATCATAAATATGAGGGTATAGCATATAGTCATACCCTGGTATGTAAAAAAGAAGAAACATGGATAATTTTTATTAGGATGATATTCATTATAAGTCAGTATGTATTAAGTTGAATGCCATTGATTGTCTTTGTTTGTTGATAGAGAAGAGTAGAGTAGAGTAGAGTGAGTGAATAGCCAAGAATGAAAAAACTGAAGATGTGTGGTTACAAAATTTTTGAATTTATAAGAGAAATTTGTTGTTGCTATCCATTCTGGGATGTCTGTTATGTATGACATTGACATTTTATTTTTCTATGGGACAATGAAAAAGTGAAACAATGAAAATATTCCAACTGACCATTGCTGGAAAAGGCTAAGATTCAGTCTTAGCTAGGAAATTATTATTGTCTGTTTTTGTGATTACTGCAGCATTATTGTAACCAACTATCTATCAAAATAGTCACCAGGAACTGTTATTGAAATTTGTCAAAATTGTATGAGCAGAAAAAGCATGATAGAATTATTAGGTACATAAAGCCATTAGTGTTGCCAGAAAGTGTTGATATGAAATTCTGCCAAATTTATCCTATTTTCTAGTGAATTTTTCCTCTGTCATTAGATGATACCATTTTGCAGATGGTAAGTTTAAAGTGATGAGAAGACAATTTCTTAGCTTAAAGAGTTATTTTTTTTTAATAATTTTTACAATGATGGCTTTGTAGAAGTGTATTTTTATATATGGAAGCTATGCACAGAAGAATTAAAGCCAAGTTTCAAAGTTCTTTATTATTTCTATGGAAATGTATGAACTTTGTTATTCTTTCTTAAAATTCATTCATTCACAATTTATAAAACAATTTCCAATTAAGATAGAATTTTCTGAAAAAGATTAAGTAATAATTTTAATTTAATATAATGATTCCATTTTCATAGTCCATTTTTTCTATATGTATGAATTTGCTTTTTGTTCAGTTTTATTTTCACTGTAATTTCCTCTTTCAATTTAAATTCTAAATATTTAATCTGATAATTTACTATAATTTTCTTTCATTCTCTATATCTCTAAGTCAATAATTTATGCCTCTTTGCTCTAATAACTTGAACTATATCAAACCAATTTATTATAAATTTTTTTAGCTTTTTAATTATTAAAACTTAGAAATGATTTTCTTAAACTTTCAAAAATTAATTAGATTATTGCTTCATTATAATTAAAAACAACTATTAATTGTTTACTTTATCATCATTGACTTTCAGATTGATAGAAGTTTAGACAGTGTCATTACTTGTTTATTGGAGATGCTGAACCAAGAAGTGCCCGATAACTGTCGAAGTTGCAGCCAGTATTTTTGGTTACTCAGCATGTATGTTCAAATGGTAAGTATTCTGTTAGAAAATGCATAGTAAAAAGGTATTATTATTACAATTATCAGAAAAATATCTAAACAGAATTTATTCTAAGATATTTAATAATACAGTAGAGCGTTGTTTATCTGAAAGCATTCCAGTCGGCAAATTTAAATATTTTTGCTAGTGCTGTGGTGCTGCAATCTTTGGCTATATCTTGGGCTACTCCAATATTTTTTTTGTTGGTGTGTGTGTTTTAGCTGGCAGCACTAGCACTTTCGTCTAGTGTTTTTCTGAGGACTGTGTGTTGTGCTGAATTGAATGTTNTTCAATTATATTATTGGTAAAACATATTTATTAGAATTTTTGAAAAATTAAAAATTAAATGGCATTGTATCATTTATATACTCTATATATTATTGACAAGAAAAATTCTGTTGAAAAGATAATTAGTATTGGTGTTATACTTAATTGATGTTTATCATATGCTGAGTAATTTTTTCACATAATATTTGAGTATATATTTAGCTAATGTGTTACGTTACTGCCTTACTGGATATTAGTACAATATTCATGTTTTAATTTTCAATCTAAAAAGAAAAAATAATTATTATTTTGTATACCAGTTTTAATTCAGTATACCAATTATAAGTTTTATTACATTTTTTTCCTTTATAGAATATCTTTTTCTTTAGTAATTAGAATTAGAAAATTGATTCTATTATTTGAGAAGAGAAATTATACCTAAAGGAATCTCTGGGTATCAGTGTCTATTCATTTATATCAGATAACTTTCAGATTAAAATAAAATAAGAGAAAATTGTTGTCATAAAAGAATATTATATTAGTTTGTGAACAAAAAAGTCACACCTCGTTAACTTTGCTTACAATTACAATTCCAGATTGTATGGAATGATCTCAATGACATGTGGTTCCAACAGGACGGCATTACAACAGTGCATGCAACAATGGATCTTCTGCATGACAAATTTGATGGCATGGTTATCTCACATTTCAGTGATGTCAACTGACCACTGAGATCATGTGATTTAACGCCATTAGACTTTTTCTTATGGGGTTATGTTAAATCATGGGTTTATGTGAATAAGCTGCAGACAATTGATGCCTTAAAAGTCAACATAACCAATGCCATCAATGATATCAAGCCCAATTTATGCCGTCGAGTCATCAAAAATGACCTCTCATATATGTGCCACCCAGCGAAGCCGTGGCAGCCATTTGGCCGATATTATATTCCATACATAAGGTAATCGAATACTCTTTCAAGTAAAAAAATAAAATTAATGATATCTCATACACACCTTGTTTTATTTAAATTTGAAGTTCGAGCACCCATAATGGAAAACCCTATAGAATTATTATATTATAGGATTGCTATCTTTTATAAGTATTTCTATTAACATATTAATTTATAATTAGATTGAATATATTGATACCGTTACTTAACTATATAGCTTCAAAGGTAATTTAATGTTATTCTGACAGAAAAAAATCTATGAAAAAGCTTGGCTTATAAATATAAATATTACTAAGTTTTTCATTTGAGATATATTATTGTATTGATATAATTTTTAAAAAATTTTCTGTTTTAATAAATTAATAAATAACTGTTACTTTGTATTCAACAGACAAGATAATGTAGCAAATGTTGGAAAATGGTTTAAATTTAATGATACCACAGTTGAAGAATATGACTTTAATGATATTACATTGGAAGCAGAATGCTTTGGTGGAACTTACAAAGCTAAAGTTAGAGATTCTGGTAACTAAATATTTTTTTTTTTTTTTTTGCAATTTTTAAAATTAAATTTTATGTAAAACATATATGTAAAATTATAGTATAATCAAGAATTATTTAAAACAATCATCAGCTTTTGATTTATATTAGAATTAGAGAAAAATTATAGTTGCCCAAGGCACAGACTTTTAAGAATTTTATTTACCATATTTATTTAGTTAAATGTAGGAAATACATTTCAGGAATTAAAAAGTACTTCAATTTTGTATATTATAGAAATAACATAAGAGATATGTTTACTTATATTTTAAAAAAACAGCAAAGAAATAAATAAAACTCTTTATTTTTGTTTTTTCAACACTTGTTGAAATATACACTGTATAATTTTTATATATGATTTATTTATTATAATTTTAATAACAGCATTTTTGTAACATATATGCAATTTCAGGTAATTCTTATCCTGAGATTCGACAAAGGTATTGGAATGGCTATATATTATTTTATGAGAGAATGGAAGAAGCGATAAAAACACCAAGAACACCTCGAAAAATACCTGGACGATTTTCATTCAGGAAAACTGAGAAAGATAATATTGGTACACCAAATAAGTGAGAATTATAAATTTTTTTATATTTTTAACTCAAATTCTAAATATAAATTATTTTGTTACATTATTTGATTTTTTCATTAAAGAACAGTAAGAAAAAGTGGTACACATAGACATGGTGATAGCTTAAGTCAGCTAACACAATTGGTTGACAGAGGTGAAAGACAGGGACTGTTTTTGGATAAAATGCCAGCTAGAATACAGCAATTAGTAAGGGAAGAAAATTTAGTTTTTATGCACAATCGAGACATTTACAGCAATTCATATTTTAGTTTCATACAGCAAGTTGTTACTTGCAACATTGTAAGTAAAAATTTAATATTTTAAAAATTAATAAAGCTTTTCTTTTTATTTGATTTAAATTTATTATTTTAGGGAAATTCAAAGCTTTCTGATTATCCCAAATTAATGATTGAAAGTTTAAATTTAAGTGTCAATTTTCTTTTCAATACTTACTTACGTTATAAAAGGAAGATCAGGTTAGTTTTTTTAAAATTATGTTTAAAAAGAAATTTATAAATTAAATTTTAGTAAGTTATGAAAATGTTAAATATTTTTTATAATAAAGAATTTAAAATTTATGACTTTTTTATATTTCAATTATATTATTGGTAAAACATATTTATTAGAATTTTTGAAAAATTAAAAATTAAATGGCATTGTATCATTTATATACTCTATATATTATTGACAAGAAAAATTCTGTTGAAAAGATAATTAGTATTGGTGTTATACTTAATTGATGTTTATCATATGCTGAGTAATTTTTTCACATAATATTTGAGTATATGTTTAGCTAATGTGTTACGTTACTGCCTTACTGGATATTAGTACAATATTCATGTTTTAATTTTCAATCTAAAAAGAAAAAATAATTATTATTTTGTATACCAGTTTTAATTCAGTATACCAATTATAAGTTTTATTACATTTTTTTCCTTTATAGAATATCTTTTTCTTTAGTAATTAGAATTAGAAAATTGATTCTATTATTTGAGAAGAGAAATTATACCTAAAGGAATCTCTGGGTATCAGTGTCTATTCATTTATATCAGATAACTTTCAGATTAAAATAAAATAAGAGAAAATTGTTGTCATAAAAGAATATTATATTAGTTTGTGAACAAAAAAGTCACACCTCATTAACTTTGCTTACAATTACAATTCCAGATTGTATGGAATGTTTCAATGTGTTCATTCTAATCAGAATACAGCATTATATATAATTTATTTATAAATTTTAAATAAAAAGAGCGAAGATAAATTATTAAACATAAATATTGTAGATATTATTTAAAATTTAATAAATATTAGTAAATTAGTGATGGATATTGATAAAACTGAATTTCTTGACAAAATATTGGATTAAAATGCAATTTAATTCAGAAGGACAAATTATATTCATTATTTTATATAATTTCTAAAAAGTAGTAAATGTGGAATCATCCATTAACTACATAATGCTATTTTCAACTATCATCCCATCTTCTTGTAACACTTCATATTGTTGTCACACTTCATATTGTTGTCACACATACTCCCAAATTGAATATTTCACAGATGGGGATACAGAGCATTACATTGTTTTATTAATTACAAGTATTATGTACAAAGCAGTGACATAAACAGTACAATTGCCATAAAACACTTCAGAAACAAAAACAAATTATTCTGTTATCTAAGAGTTGCAATCCTAGTATTACATATTGTTTTTGTATACTACACATCCTTGTAATGCATTGTAATGATTACCTGCATACCCAATTACTGTATCTGAATTACATAATTTTTGGATAGCCCCATGTGATTTGAAAATAAAAAATTCATAAGCTAGAAACCAATAAAAAAAAATCTTTTTAATCAAATGTTCAGAATAATTGCAATTGCATATTTCTTGAGCTAAGGACGCAATGAGAATTTTCTGACAAACTAGTCTTAAACTTTATTAGCATTTTATAAAATAAAAAAAATTTAAGCTTGTTTACATATTTTTTTGCTTTGTTTGTTCACTGATTATAATCATTTAAATGTTTTAGAGTGAAAACTAGTGTAAATCAATTTTTTGATTTCATATGTTATGATTAATTTGCATTGCACTTTTATCATTTATTGCAAAGTATTGATATAATGCTACAATTTACACTAACAATTTCTAATTATGTAATTGTAATTAACATGTTAATTTTCATTTACGTTTTAGTAATTTTTAATGTAATAGTCAAAAATTCACATGTTTAAATTCACATGATTAAACTCCATGAAAAAAGTTTAATTAATGAAATAACAATATTTAAATGGAATATATTATTTACTGTGATTCTGATTTGCTTCAGTGCACAATGTAAATTATAGTCAACAGAAATAAATAATAATGAGTGTCTGAATGGAGAGGAGATAGAAAGCATTATTATCTAAGTAGAGCTTTAAAAAGCCAGAAAGAAAAAAATTAGTTATTGTGAAATGAAATGTCCTATTATGAAAATTTTTTTATGCTATTGCCTCATCATTTAGAATGAAAACATAGAGGATGAATATTATTCACTGTCTACGTTTTCATTTTAATGCCATTAAGTTTTTATTTAAATTAATAATTTTGGATTTACTTGAAAATTTGAAATATTAAAAAAAAAATATCAACATCATTATCTTTCTATATATATATATGCATTGGAAGGTAAATGAATAAATAATAATAACAATAATAAATAGATTATAGGTTAAATATTGATTTGGAAGTTCCAATATTTATACAGTAGAGTCCCGTACAATGTGGGGATTCATTACTCATTATAAGTAATCACGTTATCAAAACCTGCATTATCACACAATTTATGAAAGTTTAAACCTTGGCCTATAAGTTGAAAAAAAAAACGTATACCTCTGATGGACAAAATTCGAGGGTGTTGCTTGCTTTATTTGCATGTTGTACAGGACTCTACTGTATTTTATACATACATTGTTTTGATTTTCATAATGGTTTATATTTTTATTATTTGAATTTTAATTTATTTTTGTTTATTATTATAGATAAAAAATTGTGTTAGAGAATATTCTTTAAATATTTAATAGCAATTTAATAAATTTACTGCTGATACTTCCTTGTTCTGAATGTTTTATTTTAGTACTGTGATGACAGAATGGGTGAATTGTATTGAGACAATAATTAACAGTAATAAAGAAGCTACATTTTGGCTATTGAATTATTTAGCTAANTATTCATTAATTTTCATTTTCATGTAGTAAAGGCTCTATGCCTTCATAAAGTATGTACTTCTCCTTTGTTTAAGGGTATTTGGGCAGTTTATTCTCTGTTGTATTCTCAAGCAAACAATACATACAAGTACAGTACAGTATTTTCTGAGGAAACACTCGTACTTATTCTTTTTTAACCCCATTCCCGATAACCCGGCATTTTCACAAACTCGGTCACCCTTCAGTCCACATTAGACTGAGTTTTTGGGACTCTACTGTATCACAAAATAGCATTCCATTTCATCTTGTAACACCAATAATAAAATTAAATATTGATTTGGGTATTTTTTTTTTCATGCAAAAAAAAAAAAAAGAAAAAATACCCAAATCAATATTTAATTTTCAAATGTGCTATTGTATTTTCACTTCTTTGATATATTTCATGATGAGTTTTTCATTATTTATAGTTGATGGTTGGTTTACTTCTTTATGTGGGCAGAATTGATGTTCTGTTTTATATACTGTATGTCAGGAAAACATTAAATAAATTTTGTATAGTTTCTTGTATATTTGTTTGATTTTTAATAAATTACAAAGTTACAATTTAACAAGCATTAGAAAAGTAAATTTTTTTGTAATAAGAAGAATCATCATTTTTAGACAATTGTAGAAAAAATGAAGAAAAGTGAGTTTAGTAACAAAAAGAATTAAAAAATTTATTTTGCAATCCATATCATAAATATGCTTAAAATTAATGATAATAATGAATAAAATTAATAACAATATAAATCTAATTTAAAAATAAATTTTTTGCTGATAAATAACAGTCTAAATAATATTTCAGATCTTTTTTACTTGAGTGTCCAAACAGAGAAGTCAGATTTGCTTTTGCAAGAATACTTGAAAAGACAATTGCCAATTTCTTCTATCATGGAGGAAAAATTGTGAGTTAATTTGCTTAAAATTTTAAGGATATTTTGATTTATATTTTACTTATTCTGATTATCTGCTCTTTCATAAAATATTGTAAAATAGTTCATCTGTGTAGTAAAAGAAAAATCCTTTGGAACTTTTTATCTTCCCATTATTTTATGTTGTTGAAAAAAGTGATAATCTCATATTGCAATAAATTTTAACCAGAAAATTATAAAAATGAATATAATACCTAAATATCTTGATAATTATTCAGACATGATTATAATAGTTTATAGGAGTTTTATACAAGTCAGGAAATTACTAGTACAAAAAAATTTTTCTTTTGGAAAATTTTAATGTTTCCAAACTTACAAAGTACAAATTTTCTAAATAAACTGGTGATTGTTTTATTTATTTTCTAACAAATATAGACAATCTTCAATAAACATCTCAGTGAACTTGTTTAATATAAAGCAAAAGCATATTTTTAAAATTATTGCTTTATTTATTTTCTATTCTAAGTATCATAAATATGAGGGTATAGCATATAGTCATACCCTGGTATGTAAAAAAGAAGAAACATGGATAATTTTTATTAGGATGATATTCATTATAAGTCAGTATGTATTAAGTTGAATGCCATTGATTGTCTTTGTTTGTTGATAGAGAAGAGTAGAGTAGAGTAGAGTGAGTGAATAGCCAAGAATGAAAAAACTGAAGATGTGTGGTTACAAAATTTTTGAATTTATAAGAGAAATTTGTTGTTGCTATCCATTCTGGGATGTCTGTTATGTATGACATTGACATTTTATTTTTCTATGGGACAATGAAAAAGTGAAACAATGAAAATATTCCAACTGACCATTGCTGGAAAAGGCTAAGATTCAGTCTTAGCTAGGAAATTATTATTGTCTGTTTTTGTGATTACTGCAGCATTATTGTAACCAACTATCTATCAAAATAGTCACCAGGAACTGTTATTGAAATTTGTCAAAATTGTATGAGCAGAAAAAGCATGATAGAATTATTAGGTACATAAAGCCATTAGTGTTGCCAGAAAGTGTTGATATGAAATTCTGCCAAATTTATCCTATTTTCTAGTGAATTTTTCCTCTGTCATTAGATGATACCATTTTGCAGATGGTAAGTTTAAAGTGATGAGAAGACAATTTCTTAGCTTAAAGAGTTATTTTTTTTTAATAATTTTTACAATGATGGCTTTGTAGAAGTGTATTTTTATATATGGAAGCTATGCACAGAAGAATTAAAGCCAAGTTTCAAAGTTCTTTATTATTTCTATGGAAATGTATGAACTTTGTTATTCTTTCTTAAAATTCATTCATTCACAATTTATAAAACAATTTCCAATTAAGATAGAATTTTCTGAAAAAGATTAAGTAATAATTTTAATTTAATATAATGATTCCATTTTCATAGTCCATTTTTTCTATATGTATGAATTTGCTTTTTGTTCAGTTTTATTTTCACTGTAATTTCCTCTTTCAATTTAAATTCTAAATATTTAATCTGATAATTTACTATAATTTTCTTTCATTCTCTATATCTCTAAGTCAATAATTTATGCCTCTTTGCTCTAATAACTTGAACTATATCAAACCAATTTATTATAAATTTTTTTAGCTTTTTAATTATTAAAACTTAGAAATGATTTTCTTAAACTTTCAAAAATTAATTAGATTATTGCTTCATTATAATTAAAAACAACTATTAATTGTTTACTTTATCATCATTGACTTTCAGATTGATAGAAGTTTAGACAGTGTCATTACTTGTTTATTGGAGATGCTGAACCAAGAAGTGCCCGATAACTGTCGAAGTTGCAGCCAGTATTTTTGGTTACTCAGCATGTATGTTCAAATGGTAAGTATTCTGTTAGAAAATGCATAGTAAAAAGGTATTATTATTACAATTATCAGAAAAATATCTAAACAGAATTTATTCTAAGATATTTAATAATACAGTAGAGCGTTGTTTATCTGAAAGCATTCCAGTCGGCAAATTTAAATATTTTTGCTAGTGCTGTGGTGCTGCAATCTTTGGCTATATCTTGGGCTACTCCAATATTTTTTTTGTTGGTGTGTGTGTTTTAGCTGGCAGCACTAGCACTTTCGTCTAGTGTTTTTCTGAGGACTGTGTGTTGTGCTGAATTGAATGTTTTTGATACTAGATTAACTTCTAAAGTATAATTTTTATATTTTTATTTTGTTTGTAAAAAATAAAGAAATAATTTTTAATGATACAACAGCCACAATTATTATTTTAAAAAGTTTACGTTAGGCTTAACATCGACGAAAATTCAATGCGAAGTGACACGCAATGGAGAAAAATTTCAACACGGGATAGGTCAATATATTTTTTCGTACATAATCGGTTATCTGAAAAATAAATTATCCGAACAACCCCAGTCCCCAATTGATTCGGATAAATGACGCTCTACTGTAGTAGAAAATAATTTTTAAAAATAACTTTTCTGTTTTCTTTTTATTAAAATTTGTTTATCAATTATTTTGATTTATTATTTTTTTTTAAAGTAATTAATAATTCAGTTTCAGAAAAATATTCTTTGCACATGTAAGGATAAACTGTAAATTATTTCTTATAATACATACAGAAATGTAAAAAACTCTCTCTCTTTCTATAATATAATGATCTGTATTAATATGATCTCTTTCTATAATATAATGATCTGTACATAATAATCTGTATTAATTTCTTACATATAGATACAATATACAATATATTTAATAATTCTATTTTCTTAAAAAATAGAATTATTAATTATAGCATTAGTTTAACAAAGAATTTTGTATAAAATCTATGAAGTATTGATGTAATTTCAAAAACAAAATGTTTTATAATATGTGAATTAGAAAGACTATTATATTTTATAGGGAAATAAAGCTTGTGCTCATATCTTTGAAAAGAATGGCTTCCAAAAACTACTAACGTTTCTTTTAGGACCAGCAGCTGCAGAAATGCAAATAGAGGTAATCTTCTTAATTTATTAATCATATTTAATGTTTTAATGAAAACATCAAAAAATATATTTAATGTATACTTATAAATATTATTTGATTTAAGGGTTCTTTTCCGAGGCGCTGGAGTTCTGTTCAAACTCGTGATTTTGGACCTTTACATACTACTCTAGCTACATTGATACTCTGCTGTGATCTCTCTCCTCATAGAACATGTGGTAAAGTTTAAATTTTATTTTAATATATTTTTGAATTTGAACCTGAAATTTGAATACTTCAAATTTTATTTAATGGCAAACAGAATTAGTTTTTATCAATGTTGGGAGTCTTAACTTTGTTCTGAATCTTATCAATATTCATAATTAATTAATTATTTATTTTTATGAAACAAGATTAAATATATTAAAATTTTCTTTCAAAATTATCGTTTATATTTCATATCAATGACAGTTACAAAATTATAAATGAATAAATAATGAAGTAAATTATATTATAATACAAAATCATATTATAATTATTATCATTCAATGTATCATAATGATTAGTTAGCTATACTATATCTATAGAAACATTTTTTTTTTTTTATACATAAAATTTTAATTATTAAGTGATATCTAATTGATTATCAAAAAAGTAATTATTATACAAATCCTGTAACAAATCTTTATTTAGCAGATCTCAAATTTTAAAAATTGAATTTTTCAAGTAGGATTTCTTTATATTTTGTAGTGTATAAGTCTGATAAACTGTTTATTTCACAATGCTACTTGATTTTTTTTTATTTTAATAAATTTGTAGTTAAAATTTTTAATGAAACAGTTCAGATGATAAATTGGCAACATAGACCAAAAAAATGTTTAATCAAATAATTAAAAAAGATTTTACACAGATTCTTTTGCAAAAAACAGACTAGTAAAAATAACTGATGACTTTAGATTTCATGTTTGTATTCTAATGAATGACTAAAGTATAAGCAATTTTTTATATACTGTCATTAAATTGCTTATGTTTTGGTATATGACATGTATTATTTATAATTAGTTGCAGGATAATATTTCCAATTAATATTTTACAATTATATTACACTCCAATAAGTTTAATAACCTGAAACTATTGCCTTTATAAACATTTTCAATTTACATGTAGTTAAGATAATTTTGAATAAAGAATGCATATTAGGAGCACTTCAAGTGCTCCTAATATGCATTCTTTATCATAATCAAATTTTTTAACAAGACAAATCTTTTAGATCAAATAAGTTTGTTTCTGTGAAAATGATTTCTTGCCTCAAATGGTGGCAATTCAAACATGGATGCAATGATTTGCTATTTCTTGTTGGAATCATTAATACAGATTTTGTTATTTAATTATAATTTTTTTTTTTTAATTTTTGGACCTATGGGCACTAACAGGGTCTTTTTTAGCAAACCCATTATGGGTCCAGTAAGCTGGTGAGGGAGGAAACATGACATATCTGTATGGACCAGCCTTGAAAAATTTTTAGGGTTTCTTGACCCATATGGACTTGATCCTAGGTCCTTCAGAATGGTATCACTTTGGAGGACCTTCCATCTTAATTGCTCAGCTATCTGGCCACCTCTATAATTAAAGTAAAAATTTTTACAACTAAACATTTTTTGAAATAATATATTAAACTTAAAATTATAAAAGGTTTTGATTTATATTGTAAGACCATTGATTATTTCACAAGAACTTATAGAAAATAAAAACTAAGAACATTTATTATTACAGATATTGATAAATATTCTGTACGTATATCTGAATGGAGTCCAAGTAATGAATATCTTCAGATGCCAGATGATGTATGTTCAGCTCTTTTTGGTCCTGGTGGAATTCGTTACATAAGAGAAGTAATGAAATTTTGATTATTATATTTTGTAACAAAAAATTAATATTAAAAAACAATGATTAAAATGCTTTTTCTGTTGTAGATTGTGAGTGCATGCAGAGAAGTATCTGGTCCAATTGGCATAATCATCGATATGCTTATTCAAAGCAGTTTTTGCAATGCTGATTTTTCTGTAACAGTTATTAAACAAGTCATGGTATGTCAAATGTTTATAATATTAAATATGATGCCTAATAAAGTTCAGTTAGGAATATCTAAAATTTACATTATGAAGATATATAAATTATTAAATATTATACAATTAAAAAGAAACAATACACATCAATATGACTTTTATAATTTAAATTTATTACCATCACAATATGTTTAAATTCAATTAAAACAAATTTTATTATTTTAATTGAATTTTACTAAAATATTTGATTTTATGTACATTAATTATTATCTTTATTTTATTTAAAGTTTAATCTAAATTTTTAATTTATGTTCAGTATACAAATAAATGGTCTCATAATACATTTAAAGTATTTATTTTTTAGGTTCAATATTCTTCTGTGCCTTCTAATGAATTAAAGAATTTATCTCTCTTACTTTTAGAAATTTTGGTAAGTAATTTTATTAAAAATACAAGTATTAAGACATTTATTATTGAAGTATTACATAATAATTCAGTTTGAAAAAAAAATAGCAGAAAAACTAAGATTATTATTTGTTGATAAGCTTATAACAAAAAGTTAAAAAATAAGGAAAAAACTGTCATTAACAGCTTATATAACTCATAAAATTAGTTTTTCTGTTATCATTATATCAAAATAAATACTGTTGACTTTATTGAAGTTGTTTAATAGATTGAAAAAGAAATTGAAAGGAAATGATAATGATTCTACTAATTCAATTAGTTTTACTAATTGAATTAGTAGAGTGAAAAAATGAACATAGTATTCTAAGATGAATTAGCATTAATTAGCATCATTACTATTGTTATGTTACACATATATTGACTGTCAGTGTGTGGCCAAATAAAAATTAACTGTTGTTATTCATATTTATTATGAGAGTTGTATATCAACAAAAATAAGATTAATTAAACAAATATTTATTTTTTAAAAGATTTTTCATTTAATATTTTAAATTTTATAACTAATATATTTTACTAAAGTTAAAAATAACAATTAATTACAATATATGCTTTACAAATTATTAAATACTGTATTAAACTATATAATTTTTTATTTATATTTTCATATATAAAATTACAGTAAAATCTCAATTTTAACAGACAGAATTTCTGCTCCATATGTAGTGTGAAAATTAACACACTTAATTTTAAAATGCTTTTTATATGTAATTAAATTAACAGGTTATTATTGTCATTTTTCAAATCCAGGAGTCACTACTCAAAAAGCGTATTTTCAAAAATTAAAATAAATTATTATTATTTTAATTTAGATCATACATGTGTTTATTATTCTCTCAGAACTATAGTGAATAAATAAACAATAATAGGTATAGAAAAGTTTTTCTATGAAATTAAATTTCTCATACATACTTAATTTTAATTACACAAACATATCTACATAAGTAAAAACAGATAAATAATTTGTCAATTTTTTAACAAACACATTTGGAAAACCTATTTTATTATATAACAGAATTTCAGCTTTAACAGAACTCCTTGTCCAAATTAGTCCATTAAATTGAGGTTTTACTGTATGTACTGTACAATACACCAATATAGTATGGCATATATACAGGGTTCCTATGCATTTTCCAAATTTGGAAAATTCAAATTAAATCATATATATATATAAGTAAGTAGGCCTATCATACAATTTGCCATGTAAAGCTAAACTGATAAGTTAACATAAATATTTTAGATTTAAAAAATGCTTTAATTTAAGCACATGTTTTCATCATCATAGGATAGCATATACAATTATAAACTTGATGCAATATGTTGATTAATAGAAATAAAATTGAATTATTTTTATTTTTAGCACAGATAGTAATTAATGGACTTTTTGATATCCAAAAATACAAAATTTATTTATGACAATCACCTCAGAATAAATTTTTATAAGGCTCAAAAATTTCAGTTAAGGATGAACTTCAAGTAATGAACACCAAAAAATATTGTAAAAAGGAAAATTTTCATATTATTGAAATTATTTTTCTTCCATGTTAGATAAAATGGAAATAATTTATTGAAATTATTTCCATTTTATCTAACTTCTAAAACACTCCTTTACATTATTTAAGTTAAATCAATTTAACTAAAGTTAATAGTTAAAAAAGTTCACAGGAAAAATTACATACATTTACAATTTAAATAATTTCATTAAAACATTATAATTTTTTGAAATTACTTAAAATTTTAAAATAACACAAGTTGGCCATGGTAATTAGTACTGGCTTCCTTATGTGTTTAACCCCATCAATGTCTTAGTAGATAAAACACTGGTAGTTGCTTGCAGGTTTGCATCTCACCAATGGGCTGGCCACATGAAGTTATTCAGGTTTTCTTCAGAAATCTAATACCTAATAGAGTCAATTTCCTGTAGAAAGTCTTCTTGGGAGGTATCTCTCCTTGCAAGATTTCTAGGTGTTGCATTGCCTTCTCCCATAAATCTATCTATTCTGAGATACTTAACTGTTTTCTTTATTTGACATCATTGAAAACATCATCTGAAAACACTGAAAATTTTTGCAGTGCGTAGTGCTGTATAGTAGAAATTTTCATGTCCAGGTGGTTGAGATAATTTGGACAGCAGATTTCTCAACAATGTGTGGTCCACAGATCCCTGTGGGTCTAGGCCAGGCATGGCCAACACATGAACTTGTCTAATTAATTTATGCGGCCCGTGATTAATCTTTCAATATTAGCTACTCAAGTCTGAATAGCTCGATGAAAAATTCTGACACAAAAAAAAAAAAGGGTCAACAACCTCTCCATTTGTCCCGACCGAAAGGGCTAATGAAAGCCCACAGCTAGTCCAAGAAATTAAGTTGATAGTTGATACACATCGACAATTGCCACAGCAGCTGGTTATATGGGCAGAGGCAGAACCCAAGACTGCCAAGCTAGCTTGGCTGGTGGATCCACTGGCAGAGCCCAGGGACTGGTCTGCACCTATAGCGGGTCCCACAAAACAAAAAATAGATGAGAACGGACCAAACACTATCTCACTAATGATGACAAGATGGTGGCCAATGACCTCTGACTTCCTCACAGCCGAGGAAGCCAAGATGGCTGGCTCAGAAACCACAAAAATTAAAATATGGCAAAAAAGTTAGGTTTAGCTACTTTAAGCCTAACCACACTGCTAACCCTTGTATAAGCCCAACTCCCTATCCAAGTACACTAGGATGAGCCAGCTAGGCCTAAAAATAGGCTTAACAACTAGAGCTGAAAAAAAAACACTGTCAGGAGCAAGAGAAAAACCAACCTACCTGTCTGGAGTCCCAACTCAGAATCTGGGGTGACACCACAATGAGATTGCGCACTACCCCAAAATCTTCCTATGGCAGCCTCTGGTTTGGCCTGTGAAAAAAGTTTTCTTTCCAATTCAGCTCAGGGGCAAAAACTGTTGGCCACCTCTGGTCTAGGCAGATATACTGACTGCCAACTATGCAAATTAGGTAAATGGCATATTAAAATTTATTGAACAGGTCTACCAGAAGGTGAAGTTTGAGAAACACTAGGTTAATGCATGTCATTGGGATATTTTGTTCTTAAAGAAGTGTAGTTCTTCAGTTTTTCAAAAATTTTATTAAATTTTTCTTTTACAATTTAAATGAAGATGCACTGTTCATAATAAGAATATTAAAACTATTGCAATGAAATGTTGACTTAATGTGTGGTATGCATGTAATACGTAGGCAGTTTTTTTTAACCTCCAATGGCCCATAAAACAAAAACAAGTGTAAATAACAAAATGAATTTATTACCAAAAATTAGATCCAAACATGGTTACTTTTTGACATAATCACTGTGAAGATTGAGGCATTTGTCATATCTGTAAATGAGCTTTGCAATCCACTATTTATACAGTAGAATGTTGCCACCAGTGACTTGAGATGGCCTTAATGTTGTTTTGAAGATTGTCATTAATCTTGAACCTCTGCCCTCGTAGCCACATTTTCAGTTCAGAAAAGAGGTGTAAGTTTTCACACATTAAAGGTGTGAAAACTTCCACCAAGCTTGGAACTTTTTTAAACACCCAGCATATAGCCCTGATTTAGCGTCGAGCGACTTCCACCTTTTTCCTGAACTGAAAACATGGCTAGGAGGGCAGAGGTTTGAGATTAATGACGATCTTCAAAATAGCATTAAGATCCATCTCAAGTCACTAGCAGCAACATTCTATAAAGAGGGTATTGCAAAGCTTGTTTACAGATATGACAAATGCCTCAATCTTCATGGTAATTATGTCAAAAAGTAACCATGTTTGGACCTAATTTTTGGTAATAAATTCATTGTTCATTGTTAAATGGAACACAAAAATAAAATATATTGAAGCTACAAATTTGTCTATATATATTTTGATGTAAATACTGTCATTCAAAAGTTAATTTTAATTTTTAAAATTTTAGATTTAATAAGTAAGTCTTATTATTCTATTGCATTGTAAGATTGTATTTTAAAATCACTCAAAATCAGATCTTATAAGTTGTAATCACATTGTGTATGTTTTTAATTCTGTTTAATGTTTATACAATTATTACAGACACTTACTTTTACTGATATTGCAAATTAATTTTAAAAACCAATATTGATTATTTATGTGAAGAATTATAAAATGCAACAGGAAGGAGAGCATTGCAAAATGCCAGGGGATCAAACTAAGTCCAATATAACATACAGCAATATCAATTGTCATTTGTAAATTTTAACACAGCTGCATTATTATGAATTTTAAGTCTGTAATACTCTTAATAATCTAACATTGATTAAAATTTTTTGAAATATTTTAACTCTCTATGAATCTCTCATAATTATCATTTACTCTCTTAGTTTGAGGGCAGATGTTAATGAATTGATTAAAAAAAATGATAAATAATACCATTTAAATTAAAATTATTTATCATTTTTTATTTTAATAATTTTGATTGTGTAACAAAACAATTTTTGATTTTTTCCCCAGTTTATTAATATTTTATAAAGTTCAGGAAATTTATTAAGATATTAATTTAATAAATATATACTTTTGTACAGTACATGGATTATACAGGATTTGTTGATGAATAATAAATAATGGCTTTTTATTTTTTTTCAAAGCTGCATAGATTTATGGTTGTGGATTAATAATGGGATAAAACATTTTATTTTTAATTTTAATTATTCAACAATTATAAAATTAGAAATGTTAATTAGAAAAAATAACTAATTAAAAAGTTGAAGAAGCAATAGCAAATTTGCATAGTAATTCAAATGCTGTGCCATACTGTAAAGGATGTGAGGGTCAGGGAATTTGTACAAAGTTAGTCAGGGGAAGTTATGGAATTTAAAACAAAAATTTGAGTAGGAACCCTGTATATATCTTATTTTATTGCTATGTTTAAACATCAACAAAGAGACACTAAGTATATGTATAGTTATGAACTTAAGTATAAATATATTATTTTAAATATAAGTTAACTGTAATAATAGTATACCTTTGTATGATTTATTATTATTATTAGTCTTTGGAAGATCCATTGCAGTATATTCGTATTCAGTATGTCATAGACGGGTTCACTGACGAAAATGGTACTCCTTATGACGGAATGCTTGGTTTGTAAAATTCAAAATATTTATTTAGTAATAGAAAAATGAAATGTAAAGATTGAATCCTTATTGATTCAATCTTTATATAATGATTCAATCTAATATATTGCTTATTTATAGCCATTATTCGTGCCAATCAAAATAATGATAGCAGACGTTCTTATCAAGGAGTAAAATTTCTAGTCACTTTAGCACATAAGTAAGTTTTTGATTTTTGTATAAATTTCAGAATAAAATAATGTTAAGCCATCTAATTACATAAATGAAATATATCTACTTAACTATTACTATGAATAATTCACATTAGAAACAATGAATCTAGAATGAAGATTTGTGTCAATTAATTTTACACCAGTGACTGCTAATCACATTACCATGATGCAATTTTGAGGCAGACACAACCAAAACAATGCAAAGTGAGGTCTGCATATATTTAACATAAGATTTGAAATAGTCTCTCAGAAATTAGTTACCAAATATGTAGCTATTTATACATTTCAATTTGTCATTAATAATGAATTCTCTTCTAATAATTGCCCATAACCAAGGGATAAAACCACTGAACACTGGTAGTTGCACCTCACTAATGGGCTGGCCGTACAGAGTTTTCCAGATTGTCTTCACATATATGATACCTAAATAGGTGCTAATTTCCTATAAAAAATTCTCCCAGGAAACACTCCATCTTGGCAGATCTCACAAGTGTTGCATTATCTTATTCCATTGATTGTATCTTTAGAAAATCAAAATGAAAAAAATCCTGTATTTTAGTATTTAAAATCTCAGCCAAATGTACTCTAGTGCTGTGAAAGATAATGTTTTCATAGCTATCTGTCAAAAATGGGTAATATTATATTATATTTGTTGCACGTTGCTTATAGATGAGATATTCTGTAATATCTAGTTTATAGACTGATTTCATATTAAGTGGACTTTTCAATAAAATGAAATTGCTTTCTGTATGTACTGGTACAAATGGCTGTATATACAGTGGTACCTCAGGATACGAACGCCCCAGCATTCAAAATTTTCAGGATACAACATGAAATTCGAACATATTTTTGCACCATGATATGAACAAAAACTCACCATACGACGTTACATTAGTTTGCAACGCCATTTTTTATTCACTTCTGTTCATCGGTCTCAGTCCGCGCGGAAGGATCTCGCTCGATAAAGGAAATCTTGAGGTATTATCAGAAAGTGACTGATTTTATTGAAAAGAAACATCCTGAAAAGGTTCACCCTGGCCTTATTGCTGCTCGGAGTAACGACATTTGCCTAAGTCATTTTAGAAACATTTTAAAAAGTAGGTTCTTTGGATAGATATTTTATCAAGCGACCTCTATCCAGTGAAAGTGCTGATAGAAGTGAAGGAAAGAAAGCAAAAAGCAGTGAATAAAAATTAAAAAATAAAA